AAAAAGGCTGTTACTATTATTCTTGTATTGTCATTTTTAATAAGGGTTTAAGAATTTCAATTAAAATTCCGAGATGGATGTGCGTGTGATTCATTTATTAAAAGTAAATTATATTTCATACATTATAAGTTGATAATTATCATTGATTATAATCAATTTGTTTTTATTATTAAAATTATATTAATATTTATTTACCTACAAACCTGCTTAAAAAAGCCAGATTTGGTATATTTATTTTTCTGACAACACAATATTGTCTGAGGTTCAGTTACCACAATTTGACCTTGATTTTTTCAGCTTTAATTTTAATACAAAAACAGATGGATTGTAGCTAAATAAATGCAATAAAAACGCATTTGTTTTTAAAATAATAATTATCATTGATTATAATCAATTTGATTTTATTATTAACATTATATTAATATTTATTTAGCTAGAAACCTGCTTAAAAAAGCCAGATTTGGTATATTTATTTTTCTGACAACACAATATTGTCTGAGGTTCAGTGTGATAATACCACAATTTGACCTTGATTTTTTCAGCTACATACAAAAACAGATGGATTGTAGCTAAATAAATGCAATAAAAACGCATTTGTTTTTAAAATATTTAGACAGATTTGTTTTAAAAGGGTGTTACTGTGAGTGAGTTCATGTGAAAGGACACAAAGTGAAAAATCGTGAGTTTTATTTTAATACTTAGTTATAAGATTTGGTTCGTGTGACACTTATTGTCTTCAACAATAGGTGGTGAAGCGAACACCGTTCATTTAGTTTCTCCCCCGTCTGGGGAGACCCAAGCGCTTTACCATGGGTAAAAATAAAAATAAAAAATCTAAAAGTCCCGCCCCAGACATGTCTACCAAGACTACCTCAAACTCTCGCAACCGTAGCCGCTCCCCTATAAAAGGCACTAGCGAAAATAGCCCCCTTAGCGACTCTATGTCGGATTCTGACGCGGATAACCGCTCCCCCTCACCCGCCTTCAGCATTTCCAGCAATGCTGACTACGTTACCGTTACTAAAGCTGATTATGATGAGATAGTCAATAGTCGTGAAATCCTTCAAATTAAATACGACACACTTAAAAAGGAAATTGACACACTTAGAGCGGAAACGGACGCCAAAATCGCGGCGGCCATCGCTGCGGCCCTGGCCTCGGCCAACAGAGCTGCAGCGAGTACCGCCGAGATGGAGGTAATCCAGGACCACCCTCTCTCTCCCGTCAAACAAACCCCTGGCCCCAGCCAAGAACGTAAAAGGCCACATGAAAATAGCCCCATTTCTCCCAAGTCCAAACGTCGCCTTTCAAACGCTTCGTTTACCGAGACCAAATCCCCGGAAAACCCCAAAAAACATACCTCTAACCCTAAGGTACAAGGTCCTCAAGTATCAAAGAAAGAAAATAAAATCTCCCCGATCGTAATCCGGTCCACAATGAACTGGATTACACTATCTCGCGAATTTGAGAGGCTTAACCTCAAATATTCCAAAGCCCGTACCATCTCGGACGGCATTAAAATCTTCCCGGCAACTGAAAAAGACCACAGAGCCATGACCAAAAAATTAGATAACGACAAAATCCCATACCATTGTTTCACCCTACCGTCAGACAAACAACTACATGTTGTAATTCGTGGAATTCCACACGACATTCCCCTTGAAGACATTAAAACTGACCTTATTAATCAAAACCTCACCATTACGACAATTAGCTACATGTCAAACAAAGCGACAAAAAAGGTGTACCCAATGGTCTTAATCCAAGTCCCCAGAGAACAAACCTCAGTATACGACATTTAATATGTGTGCAATCTTGCGGTCCGAGTAGAAGCCCAGAGAGCAGTGTCACCGCTGCCAACGCTTTGGGCATGCCCAAAGCCTATGCACGGCGGCACCAAAATGCGTTCGCTGTGGCAAAGGGCATCTAGCCAAAGAATGCCAAAAATCACGCAAAACTCTGGCCGTATGTGCAAACTGCGCCGGTTCCCACCCAGCGAACTACAGGGGATGCCCCAAATTCCCCAAACCCACCTCCAGTCATGCCCCGCAGGCAAACCCCAAATCCAAGGCGCAACAAACTTCGGCTCGCAATCTCCCTGCAGCCAAGCAAGTTACCGCCGACGTTACCTATGCCAGCCTAGCTGCTGTACAAAAAACTGCCACTACTAACCCTCAAACCCCAGTAGCCACTGAGGCCCCCCTTGCACTAGACATGGATAAACTATTTTCATTGTTTACAGTATTCCTAAAAACTGTTTTGCCCCAGCTTAGTCCGTGACCCCCACTAATAAATAAAATGATCATACAACAACGCCCCTCATATCTAAAGTTATGTTCTTGGAACATACGATCGTTGCGAGATAAAAAAGGCGTGCTAGGCGAAATTCTAGCCCGCTACTGTATAGACATTATTGCGCTACAAGAAACTTGGCTGAATAATCAGCACAAGTTTAAACTCCCCGGTTACGATGTTTATAGAACAGACCGGTCTAATGGGAGAGTAGGAGGCAGCACAACAATATTAATTAAAAACTCTATAGACCACTATATCGCGAACATACAGTCGATGCTCTGGAAGCGACCGCTGTCGTCGTTAAATTTAACGACGGCAGAGAGGTAACCATTGTATCTTGTTATTCTCCCTCAGCGACATTGACCGTGCCAGACCTAGACTCTCTTTTCGCGAATAATAATTCGGAGGTGATAGCGATTGGCGATTTTAATGCAAAGTCGCCGTTATGGAACTGCCGTACACACACCCAAAACGGGTATGTGTTACGGTCATACCTCGACGATACGAACTTGCAGGTGGTCGCCCCGGTATCTCCTACGCATTACCCAGATGCCCACAACCAACTCGCGGACATACTAGATATCGCGATAGTGTCGCGACCAAGAGTGCTATATGAAATCAGTGTAGTGCAAGACGGACCCTCAGATCACAACCCCATCGTGATGGAAATAGGACATGGCCCTCAGGTGGAAAACACCAGAACGCTAAAAACCACAGACTGGGAAACATTCGGTAATAAAGTCGCCAGAATGGCACCTCTACCGGACATAGGAACAAGAACGGTATTGTCTACACTGAGTCTGACAAGGCGGAGGCTTTTGCTGACTGCCTTGAGAGACAGTTTAGACAAAACTCTCACCCAGGGTCCTTATACTGGAGTTGTGCGATAGATCACATAATGCGAAAGAGGGCGGGGCTACACAAAATCGTGCGACTTTTAACAAAAATTTAGAAAATACTTTAGGTTAAGTAAGGAATTAACCCGAAATATTATTGCACTGGTAACTCCTTTTGTGCAAGACGCCTCAAGAATTTCAGCATTAAGCGTGGAAACAAAGGTATACTTTGTAGTTTTATTTACAAAAAATAATTTTATATATATTATATATATATATATATATATATATATATATATATATATAACGGTTGTGTACGCTATTTTAGGTTCTAATTGCTTTGAAGTTTTTTGCCACTGGTAGTTACCAGGAAATTACCGGTACTAACATATACACCGCTGTTAGCCAAGCGGCAGTTAGCAGAGCAATTCATGAAGTTGCAGATGCTTTGGGTAGGCCTGAAATATTTAATCCGTACGTTTGTTTTCCTAGAAACTTCGAGGAGCTGACGGCATTAAGAAATAGGTAAATTGGCAGAGTTCTTGTGAAATTATGGATAACATTAAGTACTGATTTTGCTTCAGATTTTTTGAAAAGTATAACTTTCCAGGAGTTGTTGGAATTATAGACTGCACTCATGTCGCAATAGTGCGACCTCCTAGAAATGACGAAAATAATCCGGAACATATTTACCTAAATAGGAAGCAGTATCATTCTATTAACGTTCAACTGGTACGTAAATACTTAGGTAAAATTATATTTATAACAAAAAAGCTATGAATTATTTATCTAAACCGAAAAAAACTGTTCATTTGGATCAACAAAAACTTTTTCCATCTATAAGTATTGAAATAAAGTATAGTGAAAAAGCATATTTTTCTGCAGGTATGTGACGAGAATCTGAAAATCTTGAATGTCAAACAAATACATCGACACAACGATGAAAACATATTTTTCCTCTTGGGAGATTCAGGTTTGGACAACTTTGCTTTTTATGCAGGTGAAACATTTATATATTTTAAGGTTACCCTTTAAGACCGTGGTTGTTGACGCCTGTGCAAAATGCGGCTCCAAATTCACCCGAAGAACGCTTTAACAACCGTTTCAAAACTATTAGAGCAGGCATAGAACGCTGCAATGGTTGCTTAAAGAACCGTTTTAGGTGTTTGTTAAAACATCATTTTTTGCATTACAAACCGCAAACGGCTAGAAAAATTATACATGCTTGTATTGTCCTTCACAACATGTGCATCGAGCAAAATATACCTGAACCCGAGATTGATGAAGAAGTGAAAAATGTAGATTTTGGAATGTACCACATCCCTGCATTCCCAAATAACGATTTGGACCTAAGAGTTAACCCTCACTTATCAGCTGGCAGGCGCTTACGAGGAAGTATAATTGAAAGGTTCTTTAGGCAGAATCAAAATAATTAGTAATATTGTACTTACTAAATATATTTAAATCTATATATTTGTTCCTAATTTAATACAACCAAAAACTACTAAACTAACAGCAATAACTAATTATAGTAGATAACACAGAACACTTACTTAAAAAACCTAAAACAAAATTGCTGCAGCATTGAGTTAGTACCTCAATGAGGTGACAAGGTAAATCGCTACCTGAGAATCAGAGTGTTTTATGTTCACTTTTTTTTTGCCAGCACATTCTTTGTCCAACATAGAACAACTTGGCACAAAAATCTAAGTGTGTAAAAAAGTGGACATATAACACTCTGATCCTCAGGTAGCGAAAAGTAAATATAAATTTACGTTTAGCATGTCACCTCATTGAGGTACCAACCCAATGCTGCAGCAATTATATAATTAAGTGGTCGCAATTATATAATTAAGTGGCAGCCAAAAATTATCCCTTTTGTGTTGTTTGTGGGTAACGTGGGAGTGACAAATTTTCGGCTATTTTTTCCAACGCATCCACTTGTTTGCCTAGTAACTCCAGTTTTTTATTCTCGTATAACTCTCGCCTTTTGCTGTCTTCTTCTATTAATTCCAACTTTTTTTGATAGTACTTCTGCTTTATATTAAGTTTTTCTGTGGACGATGAACTTTCAACCTAGAACAATTTTAATTGGCATCAAATGCAGTTCATTAGTAAATATAACAAACAATAACGAACTTATTATTGTCAACACCTCAGAATAATAATTAGTGGAACGTCTTGCTATGTTGCAACTTACATTTGTAACTTCATGTAAAACTTGTGAGTTAGTTTCATTGCCCTCATTTTCTTGTGTTCTATCGTCAATTAGCTGCTGAAATGATGAATATATTTAGCCACCAAAGAAGGGACCCATCTAATTTATTTTTTACCTCAAAATCGGAAGTCTCGAAGACAAATGTAACGGCAGACTCTGATATATTGGGGTCCCCAGAAACAGATACTGCTGGCAGAAGTTGCAAAATTTTTTCGTCCTCTTGGTCTAGGTCGTTAGTTGGAGGACCACCACCCCCGGTGCCAGCGTAGTACTTATTTAATAAGGTTTTTTTTTGCTTGACTTTTTTTTTCATGTCTTGCCAACACTAAAATTTTATTAAAAATAAAAGGGTAGTAATAAATTGTAAAGTAAATAAATCATTTTGATCAGTAAAAATATATATAATTGTGTGGTATTTATTACATTTGCAATTAATTAGAAATATTCAGTAAAATAATTATTATACATTTTGAAGTTAATTATTTGTATACAAATAATGATTAAAATACTGTGCATGAATAACTTATCTTTTTTACCGTATAAGGTATTAAGTACTGGGTTAAAAATATCAATAGATAGTATTTAATTCCAATCGTTCAAGTAAAAATAATAAATTTCCAATAAAAATAATAAATGTTAAGTAAATTTAATATTTGTTAATGAACTAAAGTTTGGTGAAAAATATGGATAGTTGATAAGAAAAAAATCTTTATTTTCAACTTTATAACAAAAAGGCCATCTTTAGAAAAAAATCCGCTTGTCAAAAAAAGCTTTTACACTAATTTTGTCTAAAGTATAATAATAATAATATATTATTGTTTTTCCAATTTATTAACACCCTGTATATTTAATCCATTTTTTCTAGTAAACCCTTTTTTAACAATAATTTTCATAAATTTTGTTCAAAATAATACATAATTGTGCTTATATCTGAAAGCATTTTTGTCTTTTTCAATTCATTATCACCCTAAGACATCTGAATTTTTGAAGCCTATGCTATTTATTGGGCTAAAAATAATTTTTTAATAGGAAAGTCTATCGATACAATAATTGTCTTCAATAGGGTAGTTTTAACCAATCTATTAAATACAATTATTGTATCGATAGACTTTCCTATTAAAAAACTATTCTAAACCTAATAAAACCGACTAGAAAAAATATATTTTTTAATTTTTAAAAACAAAAAAAAGTAAAAATAATTATTTCCCCGTTTGGGATTTGAACCAGTGCCCTCCGCTTGGAAATCCGCGACGAGCCGCGGCTAGCCGTGCCCATAACCATATGGCTAATGCCTTCAATATATTATTGATGCACACTAAACTTATAAATAAGAACAATGAAAGTTATTGCACGTCGGACTTATTTCTAGCCACTAAGCTTAGAATATTAAATTTGTTTAACATTTATTATTTTTACTCAACATATACATTTAAGTTAAATGATTTAACATTTAATCATAAACTAAATATTTAATTTGCATTAGAAATAAAATTCTCTTTAAATTAAAGGTAATAATTGTTTAAATACCTTTCGGATTTGCTGCCAAGTCTCTTTTCTGCCGCCTCCCGGAACACTGTTAATTAAGCTTAACAGCTCAGACCATAATGCTTGAGCATTTTTATGGGAAAACGAATTAGAAAATTGACCGCTTCTTAGTTCTGGATGACTTTCCATAAATTCGGTAATAATACTTTTCTGCGCACGGTTTACCGACGACAACCTCTCCTTTTTGACTTCCATTTCGTTCTTAGCTACAAAGTTACCATTATACATACGCATTCTAACATAAAATTTAAAAAATAACATGCTTATTTGGTATACCAAATCAGTATTGTACGTATTTCACTTTAAATGTAATGTAAACTATTTTTACCTTGGAATATTCAAAGCACAAAACATAAGATTCAAAGATTTGATTTTGAAACAACACAAATGCCGCCAGCTGTCAAATTTAAACAAGTATCACGTGCACTGGACGCTTAACTCTATTGGTTAGTAAACATGGCAACGCCACTACCTAAGTGAGAGTTTTCCTCAGGCGATAAGCCGCATCCCACCCTTTCCAGAATGCAGATTTTGGGCACCGTGCGATGGGAATGTGATGTGATCTGTCGCACAAGAGAAGGGAATCATCCCATCTCACGATTTCGAGTATAAGCACCCTGGAAGACGAGGATTTCGAGGACCGAGCAAGGCGGTTAGTAAGAAAACTGAGAAGAAGCGTTCCTGGGTCAAACCTAGAACCTACGGATCTCCTCAAGGTCCGTCAGATTCTCAAACATCTGAAAGCTAGGAAAGCCCCGGGTATTGACCAAATACCAAACAGAGCTCTAAAACTCCTACCCCGCAAGGGACAAGAGGCACTAGTAAAACTAGTGAACAGCGTCCTAACACTGAGATACTTCTCAAAAAGATGGAAAACAGCCATAGTGGTAAACATACCAAAACCAAACAAAGACGGAATATTTCCACAAAACTACAGACCCATATCCCTGCTACCAGCAGTTGGTAAATTTGTCGAAGCTGTCGTACTACGACGGCTTAGAGAAGAAACTGACATCTTGGAAACGATCCCGGACGAACAGTTCGCTTACCGCAGCGGTCACTCCACAGAACTGCAAGTACTGCGGCTAGTTGAGCACGCGGCCTCCGGGCTAAATGCTAAACTATCCACAGGTGTAGTTCTCTTGGACGTCGCTAAGGCATTCGATTCTGTCTGGCATGACGGACTGATAGTTAAATTACACGAAAAAGGCTACTCACTAGCCTTGATCCAATTGATGGACTCCTTCCTACGGGCCAGCAAACTGCGGGTCAGAGTAGGAAGAGAACTATCCTCTGCCAGAGTCATAGAAGCAGGTGTACCGCAAGGAGCAATCCTCTCTCCCACGCTTTACAACATCTTTATCCATGACGTCCCAAAAGGCCCTAGAGGAACACTACTGGCGCTATATGCGGACGACACAGCCTACGCTTACAAGAGTTGTAACGTAGACACTGTGGCCCGCAAGCTTCAAGAAGCGCCAGATGAACTTAATGAATGGTGCATTAAGCGGAAAATAAAGATTAATGGAGACAAAAGCGAAGCTATCATCATCTCAAGGAGGAGACGCATGCCCCGGAGACTAGAGTACGAAGAACAAGAGATCGAATGGAAAAACAACGTGACTTACCTAGGAGTCACCCTAGACAAGCGCCTAACCTTCAAAAAACATGTAGATACCACGATTGAGAAGACTAAGACGGCGCAGAACCTACTAAAGCCGCTAATAGGCGGCTATGGAAGGTTAAGCATTGTCAATAGACTTCGTCTCGTGAAAACCTGTCTCCGACCCATACTGACGTACGCGTCAGCAGCATGGGGGATGACAGCAACATGCCACAAAAGAAGAATTATGGCCGCAGATAACATCGCGGTCCGAAGAGCGATGTCGGCCCCATGGTATATTAGAAATACCACCATATTCCGAGAGGCAGAAATGGACCAACTAGACACCGTACTCAAAAACAGGGCGGAGAGAGTCTTCGAAAAGACCGAAAACCACTGGAACCACCTGATCAGAGAAGCCACTGACTATGACCCAAGAGACCTCGCCAGGAACCGGAGGCCAAAACTTCAACTCCTAGACGGCGACTAACAATAGGTTAAGCCCGTAAATAGGTCTGTATTGCATAATTAGATATAAAACCCCTAAGTTAAGGCGAGTTGTCGCAATTATGCGGGAACCCGCGGTATATAAGCCAAGAGCATGTCATGATTACATGTCATGCTAAGGTCGAGCACACTAGTGATCGACCATAATATATAGTTAGACAACCAATGTTTTCATTAATTAGACAGGGCAGAGAGTTACGGGGCCGAACGAACCACACTGGTGTGCACGCGCACCAGTCCCTGGGGGACGAAACCATTGCTCCGCAGACACCGTGTGGAGTCTATAACATAGATAGCCATAATTAGATTGGGCGTAAGACTCTAAGTCAAGCGCTGCGGACTCTATACTAGAGAATTAGAGACCATAGTAAACATAAGACAGATAAGAATGGGGCGATGCAGACATCGACCAAGGTCGGTGCACATGCGTGCCGGCCGGCATAGGTGATCATATGTCGGACGGAACGCTTGAACACCGGACTTGATGCGAAAGAACCATCACCCAAGGTCAATATATGCCGACCATATTAGTACATAAGCACTTTTGTAAGATTGGGTACTAGACACTACGTCGAATACCACAATCCCTATCTGCGTATAGGCTATTTATATATATATATATATATATATTATGTCATGATATTATGTCATAAGATTGGATTCGGACTGCCCCCACCAGAAAAGGTTTGGCAGACGGGTCACGGCTCATATCGGGCGCCGCGGCGAATGCCAACGCCGAGCCATATTAAGACACCAGGGGCTACTGCGGAAACAGATAGCTCGCAGGTAAGATAACCAGAATACTGCGCTGGTTATCTCCTATACAGATACCAATAATATTGTAAATTGGTTGAGGTGGATGCAGACTCTCTTTTCACATTCTCACTATGATCATAGATCTAAAAGAGTGTCAATCTCTTGATCTGAAAATTCAATTCGTTAGAAGTCTTTGAAGAGAAAGGGTGTTAATACCGCAATTTGGCCTTTAGCGATGAGTCATCATCTTATGGTACAGCGTTGTTATTTTTAAGTCTAATGTTTTTAAATAATTATTATTATGTTTAAACGCGCCCCCCAAAACAGTTGGTAGCATTGGAGATAGCGGCGATACAATGAAATGATGCAATGTTACGCAACATTATGTCACACTAAAAAGTATCAGGGTCAGCTCGTGGTTTAAATATTATTTAAATTTAATTATTTAATAATTATTTAAAAACATTGGAGCTCTAATAGATAGCGGCGATAAAACATCTATTGTGTGGTCACTGGGTATCTATTATTCAGGTATTTATTATTTGAATTTTAGATAGGCCTAAAATTATGGGGGCCCCCATGATTTCCAGCGCAGTCCGTGTGGTCCGTCCAGGGGCCCCCAGGGCACCCTAAAATTCGAAGGGGCCCCCATGATTTCCGGCGCAATTTGGCGATGAGTCTGTCCAAAGGGGGATGGGGTAAAGTGGGCGGGGCTTAGCGGGTCTGAAAAAAGGGAGGGGGTAAAGTGGGCGGGGCTTAGCGGGTCGGAAAAAAGTGGAGGGGGTGGTCTCAAGCGAGGGTATACCTACTGGCCACTCTTTTTTTTCCCATTAATGTATTAATAATTATAAAAAAAAATAGTTTTTAAACATAATAATAGATTACGAAATCTTCCCGTTTCATTGCCGAACCCTGTATTTGCAATAAATATGGCATATCCTTGTCAATCTCACAAAGTGACGTTAATTTTTAAAAAATTTACAAGAGAGCATATTAAAACTTACTGCAGGTTAAAAATATACTAAAATAAACTTACAATAATTATTATGGTTTATATCACGGCGTTCTCTTTACTAAACGTTCTCTATTATAGATTAACATATAAAATTACAGATATAAACACGGCTAAATATATATACTATATAGTATAGAGAACGCCGTGTTTATATCTGTAATTTTATATGTTAATCGAAGTATACACCGAAAAAAATAATGTAGTTTAGTTAACGTTTGTACAAATGTCATTTTTGAAAATGTTGTTTCATCAAAAAACCTATTGGATTAATCTATATTTTGGTGTCAAAGCAATAGTCAGAGTTTGTTAAAGTTTATTTGTTCATTTGACAGTTAAAATATTGATTCAACATAAACTAATTATTTGAATTAAAATGTTTATCCTATTTTGATTTAATAGCTGAAATTGGTTGAATCAAATACTAAAATTTTTAGGATTACCTAAAAAAACTATTAAATTAACGTTTAGTTGCTCTTTAAATTCAAAACATTAAATTTGTTCATTTAACAAATTATAAATGTTACTTTAAAATTTGTTAATTTTGCATTCATAAAATTGCCGTGAAGGGCGCTTCGAACCAAATGGGTCAGACTGTATATATAATTAAATTAAATTACCTCTTCATTTGAGGTAAATCTTTCTGGCTAGCCACATATATGTACTATGCTCCACACCTCAAAGTCTCACCACGTGACTACGTACGGAACGCAGTCTTTTGAAAATTTGGCATTTAAGGCTCTTCAGGATAAGTATCTGTCAAAGTATAGTCAACGAAAGAAATAATATTATGTTTAGGCGTTAAAAATGTATAAATCTTTATAACATTACAATAACAATGGTTGGTTTAAGAATTTAGGAATATAAATTTAATGAAATTCCAAAGTGTATGGTGCCAAATAAGTAATATTTTTGTGCATTTGGTCCAAATATCTTGTTTTTTCCATAAAATAATTTAACCTAAACAGCATTTATTAAAAAAAATCTAGCTTCTCTATTATGGAATATCTGTATTAACCCGTAACCGGTACTGTACGACTTTCAGATCATAAACGATACTAAGGGGTCTGAGAGACACCTGCCTTTTAAAATTATAATTTTTATTATTTTTTTTATCTGAGGCTTTGGGGATACTAGGAACTATATATAAAGTTAGAATATCACCAAAAATAATACCTAATAAAAGAAAAATTTAAACAAATAGGTTTTAATCAAAACATGTACAAAAAGTGCAGTAGTGCAAACTTTGTGATTAAACTATAAAAAACATTAAACCAAACAAAATAAATCGATCTTTATTTCGAAGAATATACCTTAAAAAATAACATAAACAAAAAAAATCAAATATATCTTTTTTAAACAGCAAAAATAACTGCTTCAAACTATAGCTGATTTTTACAATTATTTTTTCCGTAGTAATTTTTTGTTTTTTTTTTTTCAAATTCCTATAAAATTTCAAATTCTTTACTATCTGACCCTTCACAGACAAGTCCTCAATCGCTGCTGTGATTATCTTCAACGACATATTAACTATAATGGTTATGTAATATACTACATGCAATCATCTAAATCACTTATATCGCTGTCGATTTCATAAAACTACTACATTACAGTTTCCTTGAAGCCCTTCTTATCACTTTGGACACTTTTAGAAGGCCCTTGTTGCGAATCCATAAGGAATTAATTGTTTTAAAAAGTACGTAAACGGTACACAGTGGTCTACTAGACACCTCAACACTTTGACTCGTAATAATTTGTCCGTTTGACAACCCAACTTGTTCAAAGTCTAAGAGCATATTGATAACTGCTTAACTTAAAAGTATTGGAAGCAACAGATTTTTAAAACAAAAGGTGAGGACACCACAGTACCGGTTACGGGTTAAAGGTTGGTTAATATATTAGGTTAGAAAAATTTATTTTTGATTATTTAAAATACTGTATAATATGGTATTTAAAAATGTGGTAGTTATTCTAATCGAGCTTAAAGTTTTGTCAATACAAATAGTTACAAAGCTTCGACTGAATTTGATCTACATTGAAAAATCATTATAACTTTTAATAAATCACATGTAATGGGAATATTAAATATTTTTACATTGCAAGTTTCTCTACAAATTGTTTGTTTTCTTATAATCTAACTTAAAGTAGGTATGCTGAGAGGTATGCACAAGTTTTGTCGTTAGAAGTATAAAAGCTTCATTTAATTTGAACCATATTCAACAATTATTTAGTATACCTATATTCATTTATGACCATATTAACACACTCTTCCATATAATCCACTTATTTATTTTGGTTAAAATAGATTTTTCTAACCTTAAAATACAAAATTGGATATTTTTTGTTCTAATACATTAACCTACCTTTGATATTCCATAATAGAGGAGTTGGATTTTTTTAATGCGGTTTAGTTAAAACTATTTTATGGAGAAATACTGACCCAATGCACAAAAATATCACTTATATTGCACCATACACTTTAGAATTTTATCAAATGCAGTATTTATATTCCTAAATTCTTAAACCAACCATTGTTATTGTATAACTATAAAGATTTATTAACTTTTAACACTTAAACATAAGCGGTAACACTATTTATAGAAATAATATTTATAAATATTATTTCTTTCATTGACTATAGTTTGACAGATACATAACCTGTAAAGCCTTAAATGCCAAATTTTCAAAAAACTGCGTTCCGTACGAGGTCACGTGGTGGGACTTTGAGGTGTGGAGCATAGTACATGATGGGATACAAATGGAGGCGGCAATAATTTAAAGTCATCAAACTTGTTTTGCAATAACTCAAAGGTTGCTATCCAGGCAAAAACTTGAAATCCGGTAAAGGTTTTGTTCCAAAACTGCAGTTCTCATGTGTATGCCTTCATTTAAAGCCAGTATATTATAAAGTAATAAAGGTCTAGGTTCCCCTTAGGACCTTTAAAATGTAAATATCAAAACTGTCTTACTTTGTAGATATTATTAAAATGTTTTCTGTTTGTTGCAGGTCATGATAGAAGATAAAACTGTTAAATATGCTTCAGGACATTGTTCAAAGTAAAATAACTAAGCTCATTAAAGAAAAACTGGTGTTCATAGAAGAAACCTAAGAACCAAAAAACGAACATCATGGATCCCGGTTTAAACTCCAACTTCACCAACTCGTCTTTGGACGTCGAGTCGTGCATGTACAGCGTTGCAACACACATCAAGTTCTATCGCTTCGTAACGAACGGCATCCTGCTGAACTTTCTCGGATGCCTGGGAATCCTAGGCAACATCATCTCGATGATAATCCTTTCCAGACCTCAGATGCGATCGAGCATTAATTATTTATTGATTGGATTGGCCCTTAGCGATACCCTGTTGATTATAACCAGCATTCTATTGTTTGGATTGCCGGGTATTTTCCCGTACAGCGGTTTTCTGTTTAATTATTATTATTACGTGTATGCGCACATTGTGCCTGTTGTCTACCCCTTGGGTTTGATGGCCCAGACCGCCTCCGTTTATTTAACGGTGACGGTGTCTTTAGAACGATTCGTGGCGGTATGTCATCCGCTCAGGGCGCGTGCTTTATGCACCTACGGTAGAGCCAGGGCCTACGTTATATGCATCATAATATTTTCCATAGCCTATAACATGCCAAGGCTGTGGGAGTCTATCATACAGAAGGATTTCTACGAGAAAATGAACGTGACGGTTTACTGTCCCAGAGCATCGAACTTCCGCAACAATCAGCTCTACATGACGATCTACACACACTGGCTGTACTTAATTTTTCTCTATCTGCTGCCGTTTATGTCGCTAGCTTTTCTCAACGCGTCTATATACACACAGGTAAGCAGATAACGTCAAAGTATCGATTTGGATTTAGATGTATAGAAAATGTTTTATCTGGTGTAAGAGATGTAAGGATTTGAACTATTTGATTTCTAAAGAATGTCGATATTCAGACAAGTTCATCTTTATCTTTAACTTGTAAGCAGTGGCGGCTGGTGACATATTAAATTAGGGGGTAGAAATTTATACATGCAAAAATTGGATAATAAACCTACCGATGTATGTAAGAAGTGAGACCCATAAACTAGTTGAAAACCTTATATTTACAAAATGTGTTTAGGTAGGTAACAGTTTCTTAATCTAACATTTTTCAAACAAGTAGGACTACTTATTTTAGTTTATTTTTTTATAGATAAAGTCAATTCGCCTTTCTTTTACGTACGCAAAGTGTTCAATGACAAGTTCATTAAAATTTTCAGTAGCCAAAAATTTTCTTATAAAGAAACACGTAGCTAAAGCGTTTAATCTTTTTTCGCCCATTCAATATGTTAACTTATTTAAATTAACACAAGTAATTATATAATACTTATACGTAACTTATCTCCATTTTAAAAATAACGGAAAACAATAACACGCACCACGACACGACGAGCGGCGAGATTTTTGACTAACCGACCTTTCTCAGAACAAAGTAAACTAAATGCATCGGCACTATTACTATTTCGCACGATTTGGATGGCTGACGCCTACTGAAACAGATATATTCCGCCCGCACGCCGCACACCCCCGCCTTCATCGATACCGTATACCGTTTACCCGTATTAACCGTTAATATTGAGAATTACATTTAAAAAGTTTGTTAGGGTGAAACATAAAAAAAATAAATTAATGTAATATAATATTTCGGGGAAACTCGGAAGGGCACTACCCGTATATAATTTAAAAAATCTGTAGCATTTGATTTAAAAATTAATTTCTTGTAAACTATTAATAAAAAGTTAATGAAGATTTGTGAGAAGGGTAAAATAAAAATGCAATTAACAATACAATTTTCAAAGAATAAACAAATGATTTTTTTGTAATATTTTTATCTAATTAATATTTATTTTTAATTTTCATGACAACGTCAAAATCACTTGGCAAATTTCTACCCAGTATGTAAAAACAGCATTAAAAAAATGCTGTGGCTCCCGTCCCGAGGCGGGACTTAAGTTCAGTCCCGATTGACGTCATAATTTTAAGATTTGTTATGTTATAATAAAATAATAATAATAAATTGTACATGTTAAGGGCACGTTAGTTACGTCATTAAACCAAACCAACCCAAACTCAACAACACAACCCAACCGACCCCGCCCCATTGGGCCCCCCCGCCCCATTGAGCAATAAACCCAACTAAAATGGGCAAATTTATGTTACGATAAAAATAAAACACTTTTTAACAAAGAAACAACAAATTTAAAAAATAAAAAAAGTTTGACAACTTAGAATCGAACCCGGTACCTCTCGCATGCCAAGCGACCGCCCTACCATCTAAGCCATCCAGCTTGACACAAATTATAAAAGCTCGGGGAATAAAAACGGATTTACAGTGTGTGACGTCTGTCGGGATCGAAGTAAAGTCCCGCCTCGGGACGGGAGCCACATCGTTAAAAAAAATATGTTAAGCGTTATATTTATTATTATAAATTATTACAAATTCAAACCCGTTAGATTCCTTATTTTTTCAAAAACATTTATATGCCAATATAATCTACTTTAACTATTTAAAACTGTAATTTAAGGTCGACCTTTCTTAAAACATATTTTTATAACGAGCAGGTATATTCAAAATATGGTTCAGTTGGCTTAAGTACAGTGGCGCTTAAAGTTATTGCTGCAGAAGTAGTTACGTATGGTTATGGATACGGGAAAATTATAAAGAAATAGACATGACAAAATACTTTAAGCATGTTTAAATATTATTTTTTAAATATACCGATGCAAAAGTGAAGACAATAATTATTATGAAGTCGGATAAATAGCAACAAAAACAACTTAAACCTCAAAATTGTATTATTTTATAATTATACAGAATGTATTTTTAAAAAGATCTGCAACAACAAAAAGTTTAGGAATGCCAAGCTATTCCAAGACAAACATTTCAAAATGTTCAAAGGGAATTTGAGAATAGACTGTACTATTGCTAATGATAGTCATTTTAAGCATTTATTTAATTAAGCTAAAAATTAAAGTGCTCTCTAAAAATGAATTAGTCAAAATGACTAATTTAATAGTTAATAGTGGCTGCTTTTTTACTTGTACCATGGTATCCCAAAATTAAATAGCCAATTCTTATGGAAAATTGCTTCACTTTCATAATTTTTGACGGTATTTTCGGATTCAGGGGACAATTTTACTTAACAACTGGCAGTTAAGTTTTGGGATACCATGGTATTCCATGGTTAACCATGGTACAAGTGAAAAAGCAGCCACTATTAACTATCAAATTAGTAATTTTTGACTAATTCATTTTTAGAGAGTGATTTAATTATTGTTGAACAATTTGTTTATGCTTTTTAGTTTATTTATATATTTATTCTCCAGTTTTTTACTAATGTCTTTACTATAACAAATTTGTTTAATTTGAAATTCATAACGAGAAATTGGAATAAATTATAAAAATTATTTTGCGTAAAAAGTATTATTTTTAGTACTGTTAAATAGCAATTTTCAAGAGCTTTTCATTGAGGTAAAAAGGGTACAAAGGGGTTGCTTCCCCAGTAGCACACATGCAGATTTTCGTTTGATGATATTGGGCCAAAATATCTTTGATCAGATTGAAACCCAACATTGCCCGAAGTTGTTGACATTATATAACCGATATTGAAGATCCGCATTGGCCCAATATTCGTTTGATAATATTGGGCCAAAATATCTTTCGTCAGATTTTTTCTTAGCCATTATTTGTTACTTAGCGGATCAGCTCCACTAAAGTCATTGTTTTTTTTTAATTCCAAATTCTTTATTATACCTATTTAATTACATCACTAACATATATATCACAGATTTTGTTGTACTCTCCCGAGAAGTTTATATAATACAAATATGTATTGTATTGCCCATAAGGGCACGGGTGACAAAAGGACATAAGTCCAGTTGGCCGTCGATGTTAAACAGGGTACAAATCGCAACATAATAGTTTGATTATTGTATAGCAGTCTCTGGTATGCGCTTTGCGCTTTTTGGAGAATTTTGTTTTTTACCTTGAGGGATTTTGTAGTTTAATGCCTAGGGCGTAATAAGTGTTTATTTTTGTTGTTAAATTCAGGGAAAAATTATATAAAAAACCCTGTCATGTGTGGCTGAGATTTTAAAGATTTTTGTGCAAAGTCTAATAGTCTTGTTATAACTATAGTTGGGCGTATGCCGGTGTCGTAATAAGGGTGTAGTAATGTCCAGTGAAGCTGGTCGCCACACTCCTATTTGTATTATAAAGGTGTGCTTCCTGGTTGGTCGTCACACCTTTATTTATATAGTCACTACACCTTTATCTCAAGCCAAAGGTGTGGCGTCGAGCGTTGTCGCTACACCTGTATATAGGCGGTCGCCTCACCTTTATCTCGAGATAAAGGTGCGGTGTCTGGTGCTGTCACTGCACCTTTATCTGGCGGTCACCTCACCATTATTTTACATATCTTCTATATATGAACTAATGTTCGTAGATGGTGTCAGGAGGAAACAATTTTACAAGTTTTACATGTTTTTGGGAAATTTTTAATAAATTTTTTCTTAAGTTGCCAAATATTTAGTAATGACTTAGTTGAACATTTTTGCAAGTAAAAATGTCCAAAATTTGAAAAAAAAAATTTATAAATTTTTATTAATTTATAGAGTTGAGTGGGTCTCATCGGGAGACCATCTGCCCTGCTACGGCTCAGGTGTTGTACCCGCTTGCCGCGGCCAGACAGACTATCTCCTTTTGAGGTACACAGATAGGTCTTTTGGTGTTGGGAGTCACCGTGTATTTTTCCGGGAGACGAATGCCTCGCCACGGCTCAGGCGATGTGCCCGCTTGCCGCGGGACACCAAATGAGGACATGTTTTATAATGTCTGGGTCGCCATGCCTGACACTTGTAATATTGCGCGTTAGCGGCGAGGTCTTTATGTTGAAGGCATAGAACTTGTTAGCAAGTTCCATTATGTGGTCGATGAGCGGTTGACATTCTGCTTGTTGTTAAATCTCGCCTATGGTGGTGTACTTTGGTGCTCGGGTAATAGTGCGGAGCACCTTGGTTTTGCAGTCGTTCGAGATGCATTTGCCTGGTCTTAGAGATTGTGCACCAGACTGGGGCTGCATAAGTTAAAATCGGTCGCAATACTGATTTATAAAGCAGCACTTTAGTTTGTGGTGTCAAGGCGCTGTCTGGCGATAACAGTGGGTAGATAGCTCTTAGTGCTCCATACATTTTCTTCTTGGTGTAGTTAAGCTGTTGCTCGAAGTTGAGCCTCCGGTCCATAAACACACCGAGGTATCTAGCGCAGGGCTTTTCGAGTATGACGTACTTTCAAATATTTTGTTGTTGGTAAACTTGCGCGAGAAATTAACCAGCTCTGTCTTTGCTGGATTTATCTTGATAGACCACCTGTCCCAGTAGGCTTTGAGCTGGTCAAGATAAATCTTAAATACTTGCTTGTTCGCAACTGCCGACGAGAAAGAGTGTGCATAAATAGCGGTGTCGTCGGCGTAAAGAGCTAGCTTTCTTCTCGCGAAGTGTGGAATATCGCTGGTGTAGAGAGTGTACAGTTTCGGGGCAAGCACTGTTCCTTGCGGGACACCAGCGTTCACGGTGTATTTTGTGAAATGTACGGCCTCTTAGGTATGAGTCGAACAGTTTGACTAGATATATAGGTAGACCTATAAAGTGGAGTTTATGGATCAGTCCGTCCGTCCAAACCGTATCAAAGGCTTTCTCCATATCAAGCAGTAACATAACCGTAGACTGGTCTCGATTATATGCCTGCTTAACGTCGTGAGCGATCCTTGTGACTTGGTGGACGGTACTGTGCCCTGGTCTGAAGCCAAAGT